GCTGACGGCATCGGGTCGGGGGCAGCAGATGGCTGTGATGAGGATGATGAGGACAGCGTCGAGACTCTGGCCCACCTGCTGGCCGTGTGCCGCTCTTGCTATCTCCAGTTGGCCCTCACACCCATCCAAAAGGCGTCGTGGCTGAATGACACCGACACAGGCGTCAATCGGTTTCTCGCGGCGGCCACATGTGGGCGTCGGGAGTTTCCCTTCCCTGACCAGCCCCACACACGGCCGTGGCTACGGTGGCCGACCACACACTATGTGACGTTCCCGAGCGCCTCAACGGCCGGCGATCTCACAGGTGAGGATCATCCACACACACGCACACACAGTGCATCGTTCTGACGGTGGACGTGCTAATGTGTTCGTTCACGTGTTTTGGCAGACGCGGCCGAGGGATCGGACCCCGGCTTGGGTCAAAGTGCCAGTGGTGACGGCGGGGCAGGGGTATCGGCTAAGGTTGAGGGAGGCGCGAGGAGCTGGATGGGGCAGCTTATGTGGTGGTTGGGCATTCTGTGGCTCCTTCTACTCACTCTGGCTCTCGGCGCCGCCCTTTGGTTTGCCTTTGCGGTCGTTTGGGTTACCTACGCGGGACAGGATGTCAAGGTGCCCTGGGGGGACACGTGCGTGCTGAAGGGGGGAATGGCCCCCGGTCTTGTCGTGTTGAGGAACCTGCAGGGCTTTGTCCTGCTGGCATTCCTCTGCTCGACCCTTATCGCCGACGGCTGCTACAGGTCGACCTACCGGCTGATTGTTTGGGCTTTGTCGGGGCTGATTGTCCTTATCCTTGTCGCCCTCTTCTTCCACTTCGATGTGGACTTGGTGCTATGGCGACTTTGGCTGCGCTATGAGCAAGGGACGGAACGGCGCGACGCGGATGGTCAGCGACGGCACACTTTGTGGTCGGATCCGAACATGGTCTCGGCTGTCATGCTCTTCACTGCCGTCATGAGCCTCATGAGCATCCTCTCCACTCAGTTCGGCATCGACATTGTCCGAGTGTGCCTGGGGATTTCGCTTGGCCTACACCTGCTGCTGGCTTTCCTCACTGAGCCTCACGGTTTGTGCTGTTGGGCCTTTTTTGTTGTTGTGCCGTTGTTGGTGAGCCTTCCGTACGCAAGGCGGCGCTGCTGCGACTGATGCCGCAATACCTTTGTCACCGTCTTGTCGGCATGGTGGGTGGCTGCTGCTATCTCGTGAAGCTGCTGGTGACGGCACTCGCTTCGCTGACGGTGGCGAGCTCTGTTTGTGGGCTGTGGACGATGTGGGCAGAGTTCTACGACTATGCTGTGAATCGGACAAGGGAGCCGAGGAAGCTTGGCGACGGCAGGTCTCTGCCGGAGTGGGTTGGAATTTTAACACTTATGTTGGGTCATGCCATCGTCCGCGTCATTGATCTCGCTGTCGGCTTCCCTCTGCTGTGGTGCGGACTGCTGCGGCCGGCCCTCCTGGTCGCCGTCTGCTGCGACATCGTGATGGCCGTTGCTCAAGGCCCCACCATCCGCTCTTTCGACCTGGGATACCCATGCTCCCTTCTGTTCATCTCACCGCCCAAAGGCGCGTGGCTGCTCAGAAGCACGGCCACCTGGCTTGCCGGCGACTACCTGAAGCTTCTCTCCATCCGGGTGTGGGCGAACCGTTCCGAGATTCAACAAAGGGCTGTCGGTCTCCTGAGCGGCATCTTGCCAGCCGAGTCGGCAACAGCAGGCCAGTCGAGTCAGCAGCAGCCACAGGAGGGCAGCAGTGCAGCCGGCGTCCCGGCGAAACAGCAGGCAAGAAAAGACAAGAGGTCCAGGACAGCGGCGGTGGCCGGCCAGAGGGGCGAGGAGCAGACTGTCTGTCCGTTGCCCTCACCGGCCGATGTCGCCGCTGGTGGTGGCCCTGCATTACGGCAGCCCTACCGCAGAGGCCTCGCTCAATCTGCTGCTGTGGGTCTGACAGCCCCCTCTGAAATCCAGCCATCGCTCTCTGCCCATGATAAAGGCCCTGCTGGCGGGCTTGTACCTGTCAGAGAGGCAATCAACATGACCAAACCCAAGACACGTCGGAGAAAGAAGAAGCGGCCGACAGCCAGGGGGGGACAAGGCAACCATCCCTGCACAGAACAGCAGGAGGCCCTCAGCGTGGAATCACCTGCTGGCAGCCGGCCGCTGGAAGACTCGGCTCCATCAACACGCACTCAGACGGAGGAGGCCCCCAGTGTACCTTCGCTTGCCCGGCGGCTGCGGATGCAAGACGGGTGGCCCCTGGAGGCGTTGTTGGGGGCCCGGCTGATATACGAGGAGGAGCGGCAGGGGGGTGCGGGGACAGCGGATGGTGACGGGGACGCTGTGGGTGATCGAATGGGTGGCTGAGTGTGCTCTGGGTCTGAAAATGGTGTGGTTGTGTGTGCCTTATCCAGCCATCTGACGCTTTATCGATGTGTTTGCGTGTTCTTAGTTGCGACCGAGGTCGGTGCCGCCTTCATCGTATCTGAGAGATGGACCGTTTGTGTGTGGTGGCTGGTGTGCATTTGTGTGTGTGTGTGTGTGGCTATTTGTGAGGCATCTTAAATGTGTCGTGCGTCCAGTGCAATGACTTTTACTACTGCAAGTTAGTAGCTGAAGGGTTGCAACTCGAATGAGAAGCAAGTCACCACGCATCCACACACATGCACACAAACACACACACACACACACACAGAGAGAGAGAGAGAGAGAGGGAGGCCGTGCACATGTCGCGCGTCAGTCAGCGTCCAGACAGACTCGCCAGATGAGCCGGCCCCCTTCCCCCAGCAGGCAAGCTGCCTACCTACCTAAGGCGCCCACACTCATACACATACAGGCTGGCCCCTCCCTCCCTCCCTCCCTCTCTCTCTCTCTCAGTCAGTCAGTCAGTCAGTTTATCGGCAGTCAGTCAGTATGCTGTACACCTACACCCACCCGCCACCCCCTCCCTTTATCTACTCGGCTGTCGATGCGCGATGACTATCCTCTCTCCTCCATCGCACCGTTAGCACCATCCGCCCCGCCGTCGCCGTCGCCATTCGCTGCAGCAGTGGACGAAAGAAGCAGACAGACAACCAGGGGATGAGTGACGTGAGGTGTTTGTTGTAGAGATGGATGAATGATGCCTTACTGACTGACTG